CAGGAGCCCTCCCTGGGCTTAACTGGGGATCAGGAGCCCTTCCTGGGATTAACTCGGGATCAGGAGCCCTCCGCGGGATTAACTCGGGATCAGGAGCCCTTCCTGGGCTGAACTGGGGATCAGGAGCCCTTCCTGGGCAATACTCAGGAACAGGAGCCCTTCCTGGGCTGAACTGGGAATCAGGAGCCCTTCCTGGGCTATACTCGGGAACAGAAGTCCTTCCTGGGCTGAAATGGGGAACAGGGTAGCGCTTACGTGGTGCTGGCACTGGAGGGCGCTCTGGAGGAGCAGGCACAGCAAAGCGCCTTCGAGGAGCTGGGACTGGAGCGAGCTCTGGGGCTGGAGCCGACACTGGCACATTATCGTCCTTGGGGCTTGCCACACTAACGTCCTTCGGGCTTGCCACATTAGTTGCCAGACTGGGGGTCCAGGAAACAAAAAAACTTTCAAAAAACGGGAAAAAGAGAAACGAGGAGAAGGGGCGCTGCTTACTTTCGGTTAAGGTCCAGTATTCTGTCACGAGTGCACTGCTGAGCAGACTGAGGAGCAAGGAACGGAGAGAGACAAGGAGTACATCAATCCAAATGGGTTTAATTAATACAAAAGGAACACTCACGCAATACATGTAAACATAGACATTCATTAACATACAATACTGGACGCTGGAGCACACACAGGGAACACTATTTATACACACAGGAGGAGGGGATGATGAGACACACCTGGGAGCAATGAAACAAACAAGGGAAACACCTGGGACAAATTAAACATGGGAAAGGAAGGCACATGAGGAAAACAACCACAAAACACGGAACAGAGTCTGACAGTTAGTGGATAATTCGGCAGCAAAAGTTATTTTAGAAAAATCACTGCACAATAATTTTAGAAATCCAAACATTTAGTGAAAAAACAATATTTTGAGGGGAACAAATAAAAGTATTGCATTAAATATGGTAAAATGTTGCACATTGCTATTTCTATTATAAAATCCATTCATTAAAAACATTCATGTATATATATGTTTAAGTATATACTATCAAATTAAAATACATTTATTTTGAATGTACAGTATATTTTTTAATAAGGCAACAACATATGATAGATACGATACGACAAAACAAATACAGTGCAGCACAAACAGTTTTTATAGTTTATGAGCACGAAGCGCTTGATGCCGTGTTGCTTCAAGCGCCTCATTCTGCACACCAGATGCGCACATTGTAAACGCTTCGTGTTAAAAATGGCAAAGCACAAAGGGAAGAGAAATGGATGCGTAGTGTATTATATCTGTGCAACAGTTATTGAGCCTTTATTTTAACAGTCTTAAATTTCAGTTACTGTGCACGTTAAAAACTATTTATAGTCTTTTCTACGCCCGTGTTTTGTTCTCACAGACACCCGGTAGCAAGTAACAAAACAACATTAAACTCCGGCAAGAAGATGAAGTCCTTTTTTCAAAATCATAGACATGTATTTACAAATCCAGTATAATGGGAACACAGATTGATCTTGGAGAGAGCTTTACCGAGCTGACTGCTGTAACCGAACGCGACCAGGGTTTAAAGGCTGAACGAATGACTGACAGCCACCGCGGAGAAAAGAGTTTGTGTGAACTTTAATGTAAGGACTTAAATATTCATATGTAGCTCACATTAAGCTATCCTATGGCTTCAGAAGTAACACAGAGTAATTCACACAATTGGGAAAATACCCGATCTAAGAAAAATGGCACTATTGGAGCCGATACCCAATATGAATATCGGATCGGCGCATCCCTAGTTTTTTGATTTGCGATGATGTTTCCTCATTGAAGGATACACTAACAACACAAAGGAGATCACTCAGTCTCATTTGAAGAAGTTTAATCCAGTTAGTAATTAAATACAATTTAACAAACTATAACTTATTTGTCACCAACAGAAGGTGAAATTAGCTACCACAATACTATAATCCAACTATTTGAAAAACAAAACTCTAAAATGTAATGACAAATTGAAATACTTTCTAATGCAGTCTGTGTGTTGGACAATAAGAAACACGTGAAATACCTTTTGGTAGGTGTGTCCTTTTTGATAAGTAGTACATCATCTTTCAAATGATCACTCTTTACAGACTCACATCTGGAAACCTTTAAACCGGATTTTTCACTAATGACACAAAGAGGAGGTAGGCCTACTTCAGTCTGAATAGATTTAATGTTGCAAGTGAGGTTTAAAAGGTTTGACAGACAATAACTGAACAGTATTGACTTTTTTGTATGTCTTATCTTTTGAAATGATATCTGATTGTCTAATAAACAAGTAGCTTCACACTTTTAGTATGATTAGATATGACGTTTCTACTTCAAATCTTTTTCACATCGTCACATTCAAACTGTACTACAAATTTCATTAGCATTTGGCAGACACTTTCATCCAAAGCAAAATACATCTTAATCAGGACACATCTTATCAGTTGTATCAAACCCATGATCTGCTTGTGATATCAGCCGTAAAACACCTTTCTGGCAGCAAAATGAAAGTTAAACACTTTTAATTTTCAACCCTACACCTTTATTGGACTTTGGACTGTACAAGTATTGCGTTTTATAGACTTAATTATCCATATTACAGATGCTTATTTCTGCTGATGCTCCTGGCATAATATGTTTAGTTTCTTATGATTTCAGTAAAACATACATTGTAATGAATTTAACTGTCAGTACCGAAACTTCAGTGGTGTTTAATGGTTCTTTAAAAACAGACACAGTCTTACCTCTGTTCCTCCTGGAGACTTGGAGTCTCAGCCAGAGAGTTCTTTTCTTGTTCCACTGACATTACTGCACTTTTATGTTGAAGACAATCAGATGCTCATCACAACCTGGACATGGCAGTATGTTATGAGCTCAATATAATGACCAATGTTGACTTGGCAACAAAGCTGTATAAAAACAAACATTTGCTCTGAAACAAATATGGCCATGTTGTGCAACCAAAGAGTGTAGGGTAAAAGTGCATTTCACAACATATAACTCTAAATATAAGTTAGGAGATAAACACTGAGGTTTTATATGATTTTCACTATTTACTCATGAGACAAGAAGCCATCTTTTACATGCATCATTTGATCATTATGTCATTTATTGTATGCTATTAATATCAAATGTTCCCACAATAATTAGATATTTGAGTAAATGTAGGCTGTTGTGCTACGTAAACTGCAATATTCTATTTAATCATAGCTTGATGTGTTACATTGTTCTTTGATAAACCAAAAGACATTAAAGCATCATTCACAGCGCGCTTGGTTTCACTTAACCGCCTGATTTCCCGTTAGAATTTAAATGTTTTAAAACTTACGTGCAATAATATTACGATGGTCTGAGCATCAAGAACGCTGCGCAGAATGGTTTCTTTTTCTCCCCTTTACGCCCCTTGTCACAGATGTATCCAGCTGCAGACCTGCACCTCTCGCGAGACTACGGAGCCAGTGAAGTCACCTGTAGGAGAAAAAAAAACAATCCGTGGCGACAGTTTGTAAACTGTACTCACGGATTCATGCAGCAAGCTCCTCGGTAGCCTACATGTTAACGAATCATATTGTATATTGTTTTATTGCATATTATTATGTGAAATAGGCCTACAGCAAATTGTCTTAAGTGATTCTGTATCAATTGTAACAGTACGAGGTGGACTACAACGATTTAATAAGAAAGATGTGCATCAAAATCTTTGTGATAATCTTAGCACTTGATTATTATTGTATAATAAACCTGGCTTTGTGACTGACTTTGGAGTCATTTGTAAGTCGTTTTGGATAAAACCTTCTTCTAAATGCATATGTAACCTAAATGTATAATAATAATAATAGCTATTATTATTATTATTTTAATTTATAGGCTAAATAAATGAGTGCACTTAAGACAGTACATTGTTTGTCATAAAATAATTAATGAATGCTTTATTTTTAAATAACCTTTTACCATTTTGGAGCTGTGTTTGTGTACTATTAATTTCTTAACATATTTCATTCATTCATTCACAGACGTATTTAGGTGATTTTATTATACTAAGCTTTTCCCCCAGAGTTAGATGCATGCTAATAATAACTTTAACAGTGAAGCATGCATCTAACTCTGGCTTCACTGTTAAAGTTATTATTAAATAGCTAGGCCTATTATAACATTGCATTCAGTTAGAGAGCAAAGGAATGACAACATAACCGGTACATTATTGGTTTTGTATTGCTTTTTGCCTTCTTCTCTCGAAACTCTATCGTTTTTATTCAGGAAATTTTTTATTCTTCTTTTTAGCGCTAAAAAGAAGACTAAATGTGAACTTGTGGCCCCGCCCCCACTGGCAGATTCAACCACATTGCGGGATGCACAGTATTGTGTTTATTAAACATTATTTTTCATAGTAGCCTATGAGACCATGATCCGCACTCACAAAATAGTCTT